AGCTTTCTCAGATCTCAGACCAGTGGATTGTAGCCACCTGCCTGTGGCAAGACTTGACCTGTCACACACCAAACAAGGAAGGGCAGGGGGCTAGATTGTCTGGGGTGATATCAAAGGCTTCATAACACAAAGAAGCATGAGCTCTGAGATCACCTGAGATGATTAGTAGAAAGCGTTTTTCCACTGACTACTTCATTGAGTCTCTTTTTATCCTACATTTAGTAAAAATAGTATTCTGGTCCGAAACTGAACTATTATTGTGTTTAACATTGCTTCCTGAGAAAATACAGTTTAAATACTAACTATCAGATTCTTACTCTTTGGAAAACAACTCATTTACAATTTGGGGCTTCAACTCAGCTATTAAAAATTCCTCTCAATGATGTTCTAAATATTAGCAAAATTGTGCGGTGGTAAATAAATTTACCTAAAAGATAAATTCAACATACAAGCTTTTAAAACTCACCATCACCACCACACTTTTATTACCTATACATTACTTGTAAGTGAACGTTTATTTTTCTCTTTGTGACTGCAGATGTCAACTTACTCTCTCCTCTGTGGCCCAGTTAGGCCATGGAAGGCATATCCCCGCTCAGGTCTCTGCAGCAGGGAAGACGATTCTAAAGAAGGAGAACGGAGGAGCGCTGTGATGCAGTGGGCTATGGGTTGGGCTGCTAACCATAAGGTCACCTATTCAACACCACCAGCCAGTTGGGAAACGATGAGGCTTTCTGCTCCCATAAAGATTTACAGTCTCAGAAACTCTCAGAGGCAGTTCTACTCCCACTATAAGCTGGCAGCAGTGAGTCTGAGAGGATTCCCTGTCTCCACTGTAGGAGCTGGTTAAATCTGGCTTGTCCCCTTCTTCCTGGAAATGAGGTGAATAAGTGATTGTCAGTGAGTTAGTTTATTGTGCCAACCTGGCCAATAAACACATGTGGGGTTCATTGAAAGGCAGAGGGATATATGGCTCAGTGAGCCTTACCTTTAGAGTTCTCGGGTCTCTTACACCAGGGTGCAGCTGCCTTAGCAGTTTTCTGCTTCAGCTTGCAAGGCTCACTTCCTACAAGACATCCCAGAGGAGAAGCCACATGGACCTACCCCATGCAGCCATGGGTGCTGGAGCAGCTGTGTGGAGACCCCTGCCAGCGTTGAGATGCTTACACATTCACTGACTTGGCTTTCCTTCTGCAGTCGGCATCATAGTGTGTGTTCTGTGAGATGGAGGAGGACTTTGTGGATTGGTGTCGGACATATGGGTTAATGGGTTAATGTTGGGCTTAGGGGCTTGGGCAGCACTGGGTTGGGATGTTTTCTTGATGTGCACTTAACCTTTATATAAACCTCTCTCTTTACATGAGTTTCTGTGGATTTGTTTCTCTAAAGTGCCCAGACTAGCACAGTCAGTATGGAAGAAATTAAAGCTCCAGCCAACTTCACAGCTTAATTTGAGGGGGGTGGGGGGGAAGGAAGGAGGACCCACCTGAATTTGGGAATCAAAGGGCCACACCTTGGCAAGTAAGAAAGAAATGCCTTCTTGCTTCTCACAGGACTGCTTTATTTATTAAATAAAAGATCAAAATGTGCAGCATGCGTATACAGGAGCACAGAGAAGTGGATTGATCGTATTCCAAACAGAAGCCATTGCAGCTCTTTTGAGATTTCACACGCCCTCTGTGGGTCCATAAGTTTACTTAGTCCAAGGTGAACCAGCCTGGAGCAAGCCTATCTTCTGAGAGCACGTTTAGCGAGAGATTTTAAATATTCTTACCCAGTTTCTCTGACCATTGTGTCTGTGTGTGTTGCCTTGTTTCACCTTTGTGTTAGGCACTAAACTCTTCCCCTTCACCAGTTCCTGAAGAAAAATTCCATGAATAGTTTGTAAGTCTGCACATTGCTGCAGATAATACCCCGCAGCAACACAGGGAATCCAGGATAGATAAACCCCTCAGGGTCAACAAGGAGAGTAGAGATACCAAGAGGATCAGGAGAAGGTGGGGGGAGAAAGGGGGAAATTAATTGATCACAAGGATCAACCTATAACACCCCCCCCAGGGGGACAAATAATGGAAAAGTGGGTGAGGGGCAATGGAGGACGATGTAAGATAGGAAAACAATAATCTATAACTTATTTAGGGTTTGTGAGGGATGGTGGGTGGGTGAGGGAGGGAGGGGAAGAAACACGGAGCTGATATCAGAGGCTCAAGTGGGAAGAGAATGCTTTGAAAATGATGATGGCAGCATATGTGCAAATGTGCTTGACACATTGAAAGAATGTATGGATTGTGATAAGAGATTTAAGAGCCCCTGATAAAAGGGAAAAAAAGAAAAAGAAACAACCCACTAACTACCCACAGGCGAATGAATAAATGAAATGTGGTATAACTGAAAAAAAAAAGTTTGTAAGTCTGCAAATTTATTGAAGATTTGGGGCATTTTGAATTGGCATATTGCACAACAATAAAAGATCTCTCAAATCCCTTTTCCCCTTCTGTTTCCCATTTTCCTCAATCTCCTCTCCATCCCTGTTCAAGTTCAATATGCTCCGGTGGCATAGTAGTTATGCGTTCGGTTGCTAACCACAAGGTCAGCAGTCCGAAACCACCAGCCAATCCTGTGGGAGAAAGATGGGGCTTTCTATTGCTCTAAAGAGTTACAGTCCTGGAAGTGCAGAGGCAGTTCTACCCTGCCCTACCGGGTCACTCTGAGTCAGAATCAACGCAATGGCAGGAAGTGAGTTTGTCTCTGTCAGGCTAGGCGAGCTGTCCTGTAGTTAAAACAAAACACAAAAACAAACAGCCGCTAGACCAGCGGTTCTCAACCTGTGGGACACGACCCCTTTGGGGGTTGAACGACCCATTCACAGGGGTCGCCCGATTCATAACAGTCGCAAAAGTACAGTTATGAAGTAGCAACGAAAATAATTTTATGGTTGGGGGGGTCACCACAACATGAGGAACTGTCTTAAAGGGTCATGGCATTAGGAAGGTTGAGAACCAGTGCTCTAGAGCAATGGCTTCATATAAATGATTACAGACTTAATTGGGGCTGACTTGGTCACAGTGAACAGCAGCAAGGAGGTTTCCTCTGGTAGCATTTACTGCAGAATCCCATGGGGGCTTTCACAATTCAGATGCCTGGGCCTCAACCACAGACAGCTTGATTTAGTAGATGACTCTAAATCCTGATCAAACTCCCTGAAAATCAATCAGGTTTGAGAACTATCCCTCTAGCTCAGCGCCAACAAACGGAAGCCCCGCCCACGCCAAATCCAACCTACTGCTTATTTGTGTAAATAGCGTTTTACTAGAACACAGCCATGCTCATTTGCTGTCTGGCTACAGCGGCAGAGTTGAGTAGCTGCAACAGAATCCACGTGGTCTGCAGAGCCTACAATACTTACTGCCCCGTCCTTTAGAGAAAAAGTTTGCCCACCTCAGCTCTTGTCTGTCCATACCTAATTCTCAGCCTCCTGTTATTTCTTGTAATGGGAATTACGGGTAAATAAAACAATGTAGATTATCACTACTGAAAACAACCCCTTGCCTGAAGTCTCTACAGGATTTATCAAGAGGAAGTAACTTTTTTTGTTTAAATACAAAACCAAACTCCCTGGCATAGAGCCAATGCTGACTCAAGGCGACCCCCTGTGGTTTCCAAATACGCATTACGTGTACTGGCTAAATTAATTTTTTTCTTGAGTTAGCCTGTCCCCTAGTGGTGAAAATGTTAAATTGCATATGCTTCATCAGATCAAATGGTCCCTATTAATTAACTCATGAAATTGGAGTCATGTTTACAGACTCTAGAGCAAGGGACTTTAGAAATCAGAGTTCGCTTGGTAGACCTGAGCAAGACTAAATGGCTTGGGAGTAGCTTGGCTGTTTTAATGAGAACAAGTTTAGCTTCTTCTAAGAGTTTTTTTTTTCTCTTCGAAGTCTGTAATGGCATGACATCATTGATGTCAAGTGATCCATGTTCTCAGGAACCTTATAACCATTTCTGATGTGATAGCTCTCTCTAAAATTGAAGTTCGGGACTGTCGCTATGATCAAAGGCAGGCCCGCTGAGCTATGATGAAAGAGAAGAGACTTAATCGGGACCCTGGACGCATGCATCACAGCACGGCAAACACGTGCCAAGATGAGGGCCAAGGGGAGCTGCACACAAGCTGGCGATTCTGAAATGGCAGAGGATTGAGCCCTGGTGGCTCTGGGCTGCTAACTGCAAGGTCAGTAGTTCGATGAGGCTTTCTGCACCTGTAAAGATGTACAGCAGTTCTGTCCTGTGGGGTTGCAATGAGTTGAAATCAATTTGATGGGCTTGGTTTCAGCCATGAATGCTGATTAAAGCCCTTGTGGAACTTAGAATAAAAATAAGGACAGAGAGGTTCCCATCTCAGGAGAGTGTGATTTAATTGATCAGGGATAGGATTTCAAGTTCCTTACTCTTCAAACAAGTCTAAAGTGCAACAGAGGTTAAGAACCACTGCTATTGAGTAATTTGTGTAAAGCCTGTTTAATGAGAACCTAAATTCTGGACAAACATGCACCCAAAATACAATCAACTATTGTTATTTTTTTTTAAGATAAAAAGGGAGTTTCTTGGTGGTGTAAATGGTTAAAGTGCTTGACTTAACTAAAAAGTGATGGCTTGAATTCACCATGAAATACCTTGGAAGAAAAGTCTGACCAGCTACTTTCAGAAGATCACAAGATTGGGTGGTGAAGAGGAGCTCTTACCAAGGGCTCAAGTAGAAAGAAAATGTTTTGAAAATCATGATGGCAACAAATGTACAAATGTGCTTGACACATGTATGTATGTATGTATTGTAATAAGAGCTTCTGAGCCCCCAATTGAACCCCCAAATGTATGTATTGTAATAAGAGCTTATGAGCCCCCATTTAAAAATGATTGTTTTTTAAAGACTGGAAAAAAAAAGAAAGAAATCACTAAGAAGTGCAGTACTTCTAGCACATGATGTCGCCACAGTCAGAATGGACTCCACAACAAGTGGCTTTAAAAAGGAGAGGATGCCAGAGGTATTTAGGAGGTAAGAATCCTTCCCTTTGATCTCAGGAGAATACTTAAGGAAGTTAATGTGTTGTACACCCAGGATTTTGAAGAACATAAAGGCCTACTGCTTGACACCGTCCGGAAGAAAATCTAATGAGTAAGAGAAAAATATGACTATCCACTTTGGTGCCTCTGAGCCAGAATTGGCCTGCATTCTCAAAGTTGTTTGAGCCAAAGAGTATATATTTCTCATCGTGGTGAAAGTTGTGATGTACCACCCAGATTCCCCATCAAGACTAAAAAATATGTTCCCCCAACAACTGCAAGTACTACCAGCACACAGCCCTTAGCTGCCAGCTGTAACAGAGATGCTCTCTGCTGGAGAGGGCTTTGATCATTACGGTTTTTTGTGTCAACTTGGCTGGGCTAGGATTCTCAGTTGACACCTAGTAATCCCTCATGACCTGACGTAAAACAATGTAATTACAGTCAAAAACTCTTATCTCCATAAGGGATAAGATTAGGGTGGAACATGACACCATGACTCAAGTCACAACCCTAATACAATTGAAAGAAAATATCCTTGGGTGTGTGTGATCTCCTTCCAATATAAGTGGTTGATGTGGAAAAGCTTGCTTTGCTTTTTGCTGGGTCTGGATCCTGCATCTAGTCCATCGACCTCTGGTTCTTTGTACTTGAGTCAATAGCCTGCCATATTGCCTGCTGATCTTGGGAGTCATCAGCCATCTGCAAGCTGACTTTCTGATCTTAGATTCGTTAGCCTCTGCTGACCTTGGACTCATTAACCTTTGTAGCCACAAGTCTGTCATCTTTCTACCAATCTAGGGTTCATCAGTAACCTATAGTTACACAAATCAAAAGAAGTCTCTAGCCCAAGGGTCAGCAAACTGTGGCCTTCTAACCATATGTGGCTCTTTTGGTACAAACATGTGGCTCTGAATAAAGTTGAAAAATGTAAAGGCTATTATTCAGATAATGGTGATTTGATTTGTTTGTAAAAATATACTTATAACTCAAAGAATTTTTAAATTGTTCTGAGGGATGGAATTGATTCTTCTGTCTCAAAGTTTGATGACCCCTGCTTTAACATCTGACCCATGAACTTGGAATCTGCTGAACCTGGTCTTGCTCACTTCTACAATTGCATGAGTCCTTTTCTTGATGCAAATATATTTATACACACACATGTATTACTGGTTTTGCTAGCCTAAGATAATCTAGCTCTTGAGCCAATAACTGGATGATATGAGTATAATGTCCAAGCATTCACCCTCAACTCAGGCCACCACAGGGCCATCCCAGACCTCCCTGTAGGGCTGATGAGGCTTCCCTTGAGAAGTTGCATCACAGTTAACTACTCCCTCTGCCCACTTTTGCTTCTTTCCCTTCCTTGCCATAGGTGTTTATCCCACAAGCACTCCCTAACAAGCTTGCATGGTTCTCTCCATCCTGGAGTCTGCTTCCCTGGGAACCTGGCCTACAGCACCTGTGGATTAGATGTGATCCAACAGGCAATTGAAGCCAGCAAGGAACACTTCAGGTTTGTCCAAGCTCCCCTAAATGGTTGAACGGCTGATAATGGAGGGAATGCTTAAAGCAGCAATTCTCAACCTTTGGGTCGCAACTCTGTTGGGGATCGACCGATCCTTTCACAGGGGTACCCTAAGACCATCGGAAAACACATATTTCCGATGGTCTTAGGAACCAAGACTCTGCTCCTCTATCCGTCTTGAGGCGGGTCTGCCCACACGCAGATACACCCACATATAAATACCCGGCGGGAAGACTGTTACCCATACTATATATACCATGCTTCAAGACAAAATTTCATTTATTTGTCTTTAGAAATAAATATTTCACAATATATAATTATGTATTGGTTTGTGATTAATCACTATACTTTAATCATGTTCAATTTGTAACAATGAAATATATCCTGCATACCAGATATTTACAGTACGATCCATAACAGTAGCAAAATCACAGTTATGAAGTAGCAACGAAAATAATTTTATGGTTGGGGATCACCATGACATGAGGAACTGTATTACAGGGTTAGGAAGGTTGAGAACCACTGGCTTAAAGGATCACTGCCTTCCTCGCAGCCTAGAGGGGAGTGAGCAACCACTGTAATCGAGCTACCTGAGTTTTAGTCAGTCTGCTGGGTGGAGTAAAGTCAGCGCCACTAACCAAAAGAGGGTGGGTTTGAATCTACCCAGAGGCACTACAAAAGAAAGACCTGGGAACAGACCTCTGAAAACCCACCATTAAAAGTCCTGTGTATTGTTTGTATAACGTGGAGAATGTAATCTGTGTCACTGAAGTGTATGTGTAGATGTTCTTGAATTGCGGCATGTTTTTGTTGAGTCTGTTTTCATTATAATAAAAAAAGGAAGTGACTATCAAGAAGAATTAGTTGACATGCAACCATTTCTTTTTTGTTGTTTTTGTTTGAAATGAACTTGTCACCATTTCATGAGGCCGCAAAGGCTCAAGAAGCAGTCGTAATGCAGGGAAACGTCCAGGAGGCAATGAAGGAATTGATGAAAAACATGGCTCCAGGAATGGACAGGATTCCTGGATGCTGTGCTGGAGATACTCATTTGTCTATGCCAAGAAATTTGGAAGACATCTATTTGGCCAACCAACTTGAGAACTGAATTTGTGCTCATTCCAAAGAAAGGTGACCCAACAGAATGCAGAATTCACTGCACAGGTTCACTAATATCACGTGCAATTATGATTAGTAGGATTTTACTCAAAGTAATTTAAAAATGGTTGCAACAGTACATAAACAAAGAAATTCTAGAAAGTCAAGCTAGACTCAGATGAGGACATGGAATGAGGGGTATCATTGCATATATTCGGTTGGACCTTGGCTGAATGCAAGAATTACCAGTAGGATGTTTATCTGTGTTTCATTGACAATGCTAAGGCATTTGATTATGTGAATCATAAGAAATTGTGGCTAACATTTCAAAGAATGGGAATTCCAGTAGTTTCATTGTCCTTCTGTGGAATGTGTACATAGACCAAGAGGCAATCACTCAAGCAGAGCAAGGGGGAGACTCTATGGTCTAAAAGCAGGAGAAATAGGCATCATATGACGGCTACAGTCTTTCACCATACATCTTCAATCCGAGCAGCATGACTTTATGCAGAACACAGCAGGATTGGAGAAAGATTCATTAACAACCGGCGATATGCAGCTGCTACTACCTGGCTTGCTGAAAATGAAGAGGACTCAGGATGGGCAAGTATCTTGATGCACTTACTGATGAAGATGGAAGACTACAGTCTTCCATCCATACCCAATATGGATTATACCTCAGCATCAAGAAAATAAAAATCCTCAAAATGGAATCAATAAGCAACATCATGACAAATGGAAAAATGTCTGAAGTTGTCAAGGATTATAGTTTACCTCGATCCTTAACCAGTGCCCATGGAAGCAGCAATCATGAAATAAAGTGACGTATTACATTTGGCAAATCTGCTGCAAAAGACCTCTTTAAACCATGAAAAGATTAAGGTACTCCTGATCCAAGCCATGATACTTTCAATCGTATCATATGTATGTGAGGCTGGAACAATAAGAAAGGCAGCCAAAGAATTTAGGTCTTTGAATGATGGTGTTGGTGAAAACCATCCAATCAGCCATAGACAGCCGTGTGTTTGGGGACATGTGATCAGGAGGGTCGCATCCCAGGAGAAGGAACATATGCTCTGAAAACGAGAGGAGCAGCATAAAATCCAGTGACATGGATTGACAAGGCGGTTGAAAGAATGGGCTCAAACAGCCGCTTGTCAAGTCAACAGAGCACAACTCACAAGTCAACAGAGCACAACTCACACCAACAGCCCTCCAAGTACAACTTTCCCTGCCACCTTTTCTGTATCCCAGGACTTCAAACCCTTCAAAGCAGAGGTTAGAAACCCCAGTTAACAGACACACAAGAGCGGGTAAGAGCTCACCCGACCCTCTACCTGATGGACAAATCTTTTAAAGTTTAGAACAATCCCATACCCGCCCTCACAGCATCTTTTTACATTTTTCAAATCACCTAAAACACATGGAGTCCCCGTGAGTCTGAACTGCCTAGATGGCCCCAGGGTGGCTTGGTTTTGTTCGTTGGTGTCGTGGTTTTAAGTTCCACTCTTCTCCCCAGTACTGTAACATTTCTATCTTTTCCGTTATTGGCTTTCTCTGGTGTGCAGGCTCCAGTGCCGGTCTCCGCCATGAGTCAGAAAACTTGTCCTTGGTGGACTAAGGCTTGCACCTGTTGATCTTGGGCTGAAAAGCTCATTCGTGGCTGGTCATCGTAGCCACCTGCGTACCGAGAGGCACAAAGTGAAGGGCACACACAGCCCCTGCCGACTGCCCACCCAGGCTTCGGATAGGAGCGCCCG